GCATACCCCTGATTTAGTAGCAGGTGCTGCAGGAGACTTGGCACATGCAGACGTTGCACCCTATGCCCCTGCCTTCGTGGAGTTTATGGTCTAGTGCAGGTGACTGGAAGTAAACAAATGACCCACAAATACATATATGATCGTGAAATGTGACAAAGGCCAGGCATGATCAGAATGGTGTGTTGGGGCCAAAATAGCAGGGACAACCTCATTTTGGTGGGCTGGGCAGGAGCAGGTGGTAGTGGACGGAATGAGGCTTCCTCATCTGTCCAGAGTCTCGGGCTTGGGGCTGGTGGTGGCAGGGACAGGGGACCCTTTCCACTCACTTCTCACTTGATGTCTGGGATACAGAAAGGAGCAAGACCCCTCCCATTTCGGGAGACTCTCCATCCAGGTAGGGAGACAGGACCTCACCCACGATAAGGATTGTGTGGGTTTCCTGAGGCGGCCGTGACAAGTAAATGGTGGGCTTGAAACAATAGAGACTTATTGCTTCTCAGTTCTGGAGGCTGGGAGTCTGAAATGAAGGACCATGCTTTCTCTGAAGGCTCTGGAGGAGGATCTTTCCTTTCCAGTCTCTGGTGGTTGCTGGTGATCTTGGCCTTTTAGACCCATCACCCCAATCTTCACCTCTGTTATCTCATGGTGTTCTCCCCATGTGTCTCTCCATCCCTACACGGCCTTTTTACAAGGGTATCAGTCATTGGATTAGGACCCACGCTAATCCAGGCTGACCTTATCTTAACTGGGTCACATTAGCAAAGACTGTATTTCCAAATAAATCTCAGGGGCTGAGATTTCAACGTATCTTTTTGCAAGGACACAACTCCACCCACAACAAGGATGAGACCCGTAGGCCCAGGAGCAGGACAGCTGTGAGAACTACAAGGATTCAGGGGATATCTCCAGGGTTTGCAAGGAGCCAGGTACTCGGGGAGGAGGACAGAGAATGAGCAAGTGAATGAGTAAAAGACGAGAGAGGCAGGAATGCACAGCGCGTACACAGCCATAGGGAAGAGGCTCCCAGGACCTGCTCAGAGCTGCCTTCTAGAACTGTGAGTCCAGGAATGAGGCCACCAGGTGTGAAGCCTGCAGCGCATCCTAAGGGAACCCATTTGCTCCTCCGCTGCAGGAAGCGATGGGGGCCCTGGGTGTTCTCAGACTTCCTCTGCGATCTCCTTCCCTCCTGGCTCTGGCTTTCAGGTGTGGCGACTGCAGGAGGAGTGACTGTCACTGGGGCTCCTGGGACGAGCTAACACATGTCCCCAAAGCCCACAGCCTCTGGCCCTGATGACATGCTCCAAACACCCAAGACTGTCCCTTCCTCCTATGCTTATGCCCACACCAACCAACTTCTTTTTCTAACCAACCTTTTTTTCTCACTTATGAAGGGAGAAACCTGTGGGTGGGATCACCCCCACCTTGTCATCACTTATTCCCAGCATCTAGAGAGGGTCTGCTCAGAGCATGCTCGCAAAAGATATTCTTTTTTTAAAAATTTACTTAGGCTGCACCAGATAGCTCAGTTGGTAAACGAAACTGCCTGCAATGCAGGAGACCCCGGTTTGATTCCTGGGTCAGGAAGATCTGCTGGAGAAGGGACAGGCTACCCACTCCAGTATTCTTGGGCTTCCCTTGTGGCTCAGCTGGTAAAGAATCTGCCTGCAATGCGGGAGACCTGGGTTCGATCCCTGGAGTGGGAAGATCCCCTGGAGAAGGGAAAGGCTACCCACTCCAGTATTCTGGCCTAGAGAATTCCATGGACCATACAGTCCATGGGGTCACAAAGAGTCAGACATGACTGAGTGACTCACTTTTCAGGCCTTAGTTGTGGCATGTGGGATCTGGTTCCCTGATCAGGGGTCAAACCCAGGTCCCCTGTACTAAGAGCACAGAGTCTTATCCACTGGACTCCCAGGAAAGTCCCAAGAGATCTTCTTTGACTTAAAGAAAAACCACAATGAGATGAAAGCATCCGGACAGTCACACCCTCAGATTTTGTCCCTGTAGACACCCAGTTTCCCCTGCCCTTCACGTATACTACTGCTCAGGAGAACTGCTCAGGATCTTACCGTGGCCGCTGAGCAAACCTGGTGCTTGGGAGAGGCACCTCTCCTTCCTGGGCCTCAGTTGCCCTCTTTGTAGTTTGAGGTGTTAGTACCCACTTCATAACCTTGCATGTGAATAGCTGTCAGGAAGTTAGAATTATGCGATTTATTTCAGCCCGACCGTGTGCACTCCTGCTTTGTAATCAGCCCTACGCCAGGCCAGGCAGTGCAAGGTGGACCAGGCAGGCTGCCCAGTTCTTGTGGAGGGGGTGGATCATGTGTAAGGAGTTCACAAAATGAGGAGCACTACAAGGTGTGGGGAGGTGCGGGCAGCGCTGAGAAGGCATGACTAGGATTTCAGCTGGCTGAAGGGGCAGTAGACTCCTGAGGACTCTCCTATGAAGAGGAGTTAGCGAGGCAGAGGCAGGGAGAAGAATTCTCTGCAGAGGGACTAGCCTTTTGGAAAGGAGAGCTCAGGGCTTGCCGTAGAAAGAGAGCAGTCTGATGTAGTTGGAACCAAGAGAGCGAAGGGGATGTGAGAACTGAGGCCAGAGAGACCGGATGGACTCCAAGGGAGAGACCATTGTATTAGCATTCCATGTGGTTTAGCAAATACAGTCATTTCTCTCACTTCTGTAGAAGCCTGGCAGGAGGAATTCAGGGCTGGTGTGGTGCCTCACAGTGTCAAGGACCCAGGCTCTTCCCAATCGCTCTGTCATTCTTGACTTCCATTCCCAAAGTCACTCATGGCCCAACAGAGCTGCTACAGCTCCGGCCTGCGTCTGCATTCCACCAAATACAAAGGAGCAAGGGATGAGGATGTTTTCTCAAATTAGGGCACTTCCTAGAAATTGTACACATGGCTTAACAGGTAGCACTGGGGGTAAAGAACCTGCCTGCCAATGTGGGAGACATAAGAGATACAGGTTTGACCCCTGGGTCAGGAAGATCCCCTGGAGGAGGGTATGGCAGATTGCCATACTGGAATACACTCCAGTGTTCTTCCCTGGAGAATCCCATGGACAGAGGTGCCTGGTGGGCTACAGACCATGGGGTCACAAAGAGTCTGACACAACTGAGTGACTTAGCACAGGCTGTGTATCAGTTATCTACTGATGCATAACAACCCCCCGCCCAAACTCAGTGTCTTAAAACAATAAGTATGTGTTGTGGAAATGGCAACCCAGTCCAATATTCTTGCCTGGAGAATCCCATGGACAGAGGAGTCTGGTGGGCTATAGTCCATGGGGTCATGAAGAGTCGGACACAACTGAGCGAGTAATACACACACATGTGTTGTGGAAGGGAGTTCCCCGGTGACGCTAGTGGAACCCACCTGCTGAAACAGGAGACATAAGAGATACAGGTTCAATCCCAGGGTCAGAAAGAGCCCTTGTAGGAGGGCATGGCAATCCACTCCAGTGTTCTTGCCTGGAGAATCCCATGGACAGAGGAGCCTGGCAGGCTATAGTCCATAGGGTCATAGAGTCAGATACAACTGAAACGGCTTAACACACACACAGAAATTGTACACACCATTTCCATTTAAATCCTACTGGAGAGATTTTAGTCTTGTAGTCAAACTTAGCCTCAAAGGAAGCTGGGAAAGTGTCTTTATTACAGACAGCCACGGGTCAGCTAAAAGTAAGGAGTTTTATTGTTGTGGAAACAGAGGAAGATGGATATTGAAGATAACTCATGGCCTCCACCATAGTCACCAGGTTTAGTGTTTCACTTGATGAGAACACTCTAGAAAATCCCGAGAAGCATTATGAATCCACGTCCTGGCTCCACTGAGGAGCTTCCACTAGTCACTCCTCCAAACAGAGCCCTCCTCCCTCCCACCAACATGGTTAATCAAGGCCACGCCTCCTCTCCTCCATGGGCCTCTTGCTCTGTGCTGAAGATGCCGAGGCTGTGGGAGGTCTTCACTGCTGCTAGGATGGGAGGAGGAGGGACCCTGTGTTTGTGACCAGCCCTTGGAGGAACAGAAGCTGTTTTATGACAGGGGACTAGAATGGCATTCAGGCCCAACTGGAAAAGCGGTCTTCCTACTACGGTGGGAACCTGGGAGCCCAGAGTCCTTTAGGGAAAGGCATTTGGCGTTCCAAACAACCTGTTGACTAACTTGAGGCTAGGTTGCTGGTGTCCTTGTCTCAAAGACAATTCCATGGCAATCCCTGCTTTCTGGCTTGGCCCTCCTGGTCTCTCTTTTGGGACCTAAGCCCCAGGCAGCACTAGGCAAAATGTCTGTGCAGTGGGAAAGGTGTCAGATTCTCCTGCAGGCCAGGATCTGGGGGTGCAGTGGGAGATGACTGCCTTGCCTACAGTCAGCCTCTCCCAGGTGGACGAGGTGGGGTGTGGATTCTGCATGGGGTGGTGTCAGGCAGAGAGTCAGGCGGGGCCCAGAGCGCTCAGGTTGAGAGACAGCTGGATGTTGTCCAGCCTTGGGGTGTTCAAGCTTTTGGGGACCCCTGGGAGCTGTAGAGGAGGCTATAGAGGAGCCAGGGGCTCCTTTGAATGTTCCCACCAGCTTTCAAAAGTGGGCTTCCACACACACTCCATTTGAAGGAAGGTCTCTGTGACTAGAAAACGCAGGACTCCTGCTGGCTGCTCAGTGAGCGGCTGATGGGAACTGGGCAGGGAAGAGGTCGGTGACTTGCCTGAGATCCAGCTGCTTGCTGCTGCCCCATCGCCAGGCGGTCTGGGTGTGAGGGCCTGCCCCTCCCCGGGTGCAGGCCGGTCGTCTCTGGAGCCTGCTGTCCCCATGCCTGCTGACTCGAGGGGGAGCCAGTCTCTGACCCTCCCTGGACCTCAGTCTCCTGCACTTGGTGAATGAGGAGGCTGGGTGAGAAGCTCCTGAAGATCCTTTTTAGCTCAAATTCCCATGATCCTATTATCTACTTCATGCCCCGTTTCCCCACTTAAAGAAGTTAAGAAATAGGGCAGCACTGAAGATAATAGCTCGTTTATGTCCGTGAAGGATTTCAAAGGCCTTTATAGCGCTCAAGCAAAATGCTGCTCAAGGTCAGCTGTGGCCAGCCTGCCCCCGGCCCTGCTCCCATCTTATCCCCATTCGGAAATGGGGGTGTGGTGGGCCGGCCCTGGGGTCTAGGTCCAAGGTCACAGGGTGGTCAGGGGGCAGTGGCTTGCCCTTCAAGGCCATTCTCTTCTTCACCAGGCAGTGCTGTGCACTCTGTCAGCTCTTGGAATGGATTCTTGAGAAGGACAGGTTTTCCCTTCAAGTTTTTTGTGTAAAAATTGATTTCTACTCATGATTTCTTAGGCCCAGGTTTACTTACTTCTTCTTAACTTATAGCCACCTGGGCGAGTCCCTCAGAGAGCCCCTAAAAGAAATAGCAGGTTTTCCCACAAGGCTTGTCTTCTAAGAGCCGGCGGTGTGAGTGGAGGGTCCCACAGGCCCCGGGACTGCCTGCAGCTTTGTCCTGCATATTTTCCCTGTGACTCCTTCTGTTCCTGGAAACCCCGAATGCAGCCCAGAAGCAGCCCAGGCAGATGGTAGCACAGCCACGCCTCACTCATGTGAACACGGTGGGTCTCAGAGCTTTGCTACTTACAGACTCAGGGTCACGTGACCTTGGCCGATGACACTTGGAGAACCTGCTTTGGTGAACAGATAAGAGGGATGCGTGATAACCCCACTGAGCTCAGCTGTACCTATGTCAGTGGATTCAAAGTGCTTGATGAGTTCCTCTCCCTAGTAGTCCCCGCCTCTGGTCCTTTTCTTTAAATTACAGAAATTTAGCACATCAGAGCCGAAAGGACTTCAGAGAGGTGCTCACTCAGGCCCTCCACTTCACAGGGTGGAGACTGAGTCTCCACGGGCAGAGCTGCAGGAGAGAAGTTGCCAAGGGCTCTTGTGCACAGGCTGCAGAGACCTTTCCACACCTGCAGGAAGAGCAAAGGGTTAAAATGAGGTCAGCTTCTGCAGCGTCCAGGATGGGGGTCATGAGGGTCTGGGATCTGATTGACTGCCCGCTGTGTCCCTGGGGCCGACCCAGAGCTAGAACTCAGTAAGTGGATGGGAGTTCTAGCATGTTCTAAATCAGAGGGGTCAAAGGAGTTGTGGCTTTGCTGTGCTGCCAGTCTGGAAAGTCCCTCCTTCTCTGGGGTTTGAATGTGGCCTTGAACATGAGCGCTTTTACTTCTTCCACCTCCTTTGGTCACAGAGGAAGCAAAGGTCAAATTTTCTGGCAGAAAAGGCAGCTCTAGTCTAGGTGTTATTAATAAGAAGATTGAAAGGCGCACACCTCAGTCCTCCAGCCAGGCCTGCTGTTCGCAAAGTTTCCACGGGAGCCGTGCCCGCCCCGAAGTGGTACCCGTGCCCGACTTCTCCCAGCACCTTAGCTGCTCCGCTGACTCCAAGCACTCGTGAATCCGGTTCACCTTTGTTCTCTGGGTCCCTGATTCATGTGGGGAGACCAGGTCGCCAAGTCACAGCCTAGCGCTCAGGGGCCTGTGGGCAGGTCGAGGAGCACTGCCTCTCACTGCTGTGATGAGCTGACCTTCAAGGCAGGGAACATGCCTCCGTGTCTTGGGTCTCCTCCGACTTTCTGAATGGAGTTTCAGAGGTCACATGAAGTTGCTGGGGCCACTGGTGAGAGGGTGACCTGCAGACTCACCTCTCAGAGGGCCTGAGGCCCGGGCTCTCCTCCCTCAGCTGCTTCCCTACAGGCAAGAGATCTTCCAAGACCTTCTTGTCCTCCCCACCTCCAACCAGAAGTTTGCTTGGCCAAAAATCCTTAAGAATTACCCAAAGCATATTTTGGTATGGTGGGCTTCCCAGGGGGCTCTGGGGAAGAATCCACCTGCCAAGCAGGAGACACAGGTTTGATCCCTGGGTTGGGAAGATCCCCTGGAAGATGAAATGGCAACCCACTCCAGTACCCTTGCCTGAGAAATCTCATGGAAAGAGGAGCCAGCAGGCTATAGACCATGGGCTTGCAAAGAGTCAGACATGACTTAGCAGCTAGATAACAACAGCAAAGGTTTGGAGAAAAAGCTGTAAGGACATGCAATACATGCACTCTAATGTGACCCCAGGGAGGCTCCCTTTGTGGGGTCCCTAGAGGGCCCTTGGGGATGCCCCCTCACTCCTAGGAGAGGTGACCACCCAGACCTGTGATTTCGTGTCAGTTCCACCCCTCACTGTAAGATGCCTTCCTCCATCTAATGCTTGGTGCGGAGATTTTAGGATTGGTTTACAGCTGGATTTTGTTGCCTTTAAAAGAGGCCAGAGGCTACAGGTACCATGAAGTCTCCTTTGGTGGCTTCAAAATGTTGTCCTTGGCTCCCTCTGACAACTGAGCTGGCTGGGGGCCCCCAGGAACATAGAATCACTGGAAGAACCAGGGCCAGTGGATCCCTCCTTGTACCTCCTCGCTGGGCTCCAGGCTGGAGGCTGGTTGCCCAGGTTTCCTCATTAGGCTGTCAGGGTGCTTCAGGAGGTAAGAAAGAGCTCTGGCCCAGGATTCAGGAAGGCTGGGCCCTCTGATCCCTGCTACATCCCTCGCAGGGTCTTGGGGGTCGGCTTCTGTTTCTGACAAGAGTAGGGTGGATGGGTTGGGGGTCTTTGGGATTCCCCTTGCTTCTAACACCCTCTGACTGAGTCTCTGCTTCTCTAGGACACCTCTGCTTTATCACCTTCCCCTGCTTCTCCTGCTGTATCCTCTCCAGGCAGTTTCCTGCCTTCCTGCCAGAGGAAGGGGAGGGGAATTTCTCTTTGGAACCAGACGGAGGTGAGAGGGGAGGGCGCTTGGATGGCAGGTGGCCTGAGCCTAGGCTTTAAAGCTCCAGTGTGGACTCTTCCAGAACCCATCTCCTATCTGTGTTACCCACCCCACACCCTTGACTCAAAGTCACGTAGGGTCAAGGGTCCAGGGATTCTGTTTGGGGGTGATCAATGTTTACCTCCAGAAGTCTCTAGAGGAGGCTTTTCTCTGCTAAGCAAATGCATGTAGTTGTTTCTTTACAAGGATGTGGGCCCTTGTTACGCAGGGTTCCAATTTCAAAATCTGCCCAGGGTAACTTTTATGGCCTTGGATATCTCACTTCACTCTGGGTTTCTACATCCTCAGACTCTCTTCATGGTTAGATTGTCCTGAGAGTGCAGGGTGTAGGTGAAGGATAGAAACAATGACAGAAGAGTTATAAAACAAGGGGGGTCACCCTGCAGGAAGTTAGAATCATCTGCAGAGGAAATGTCATATCTTGTGACCAAACCAAAGTGGGACTTGTCAGTACAAGTTGGGGTCTAACTAAGCGATTGGTCTTGTGACACAGGCTTAAGCCTTGCGGAAGATAACGGGGCATGAGCTGGGACCAGCTGACAGTGTTACTACCTCCTGTTCCCCCAAGCCCAGCTCAGGCCCAGACGACACCTGGTTCTTCTCAAGGGCCCCTCAGATGCTGTAGTTCATGTTATGAGATGCCCTCAAGATCTTGGTGAGGGTCCTGGAGAGTTGCTCCCTGATTTTCTTGTGCTCTTAGTAAATGGAGTGTCCAGCAGTGTCTTCTGGAGGATACTGGGAGAACCTGATGCATAGCGATATCATTGATAACAATGATGAACCTGGGTCTCCTGCATTGCAGGCAGACTCTTTACCTTCTGAGCCACCAGGGAAGGCCCATGTTGATAGTGCAGTGGTTATTAAACCCTGGAGTCCTGACTGAGAGGAAGAGTCAGATTTCTGAAAAGCTTCTAAACTGTGAGAAACGTGTTTCTTTCTGGAAGGGCTCAAGTGCAGCTCTGCCTTGGGACTATTCTCCACCCTTCCCAGTTCTGAGATTAGGTCAAGTTCATTCATTCACTCTTGTATGCATTTACTTAACACACACGTATGGATTGTCCACTATCTGTCAGGTGCTGTGCTAAGGGCTAGGAAAATAAGAGCAATCAAAAGTCTTGGAGAGTGAAAATGCAAGTCTAGTAGGAGGCCTTCTGTGTCCTGCTGGAAAGAGTGGATTTGCTGCCACTGGCTTAGGGCCCAGTCCTCCTGTTGGGCTTCTGGGATTCACACCAAGAGGAAATTCATCATTTACTTAATTTCCAAGAAAAAGGAAATAAATCCGCAAACGAAGCAACATTGTGGACCTTATAAAGCAAATACAACAGGGAGAGACTGGGGATGGGAGGATGAAAGGCTTCTTCCAGGCTGCCCACCTGCTGGGGGATGTGGGATCTCTCCTTACAGATGCTGAGTTTTGGGAGTTTTCCAGGAACCTTTTGGGATTTAGCTTCCTATTCAACTGGTTCAACTCTTTGCAGATGTAGGGTAGACCAGATGACCCCTGAGGTCTCCATCTGCTTTAAAATTCAATAGTTCAGGGATTTTCAGGATCTGAGCTCAAACTGGAGGCTTGTATTAATGTTCAGTTCAGGTGGTGGGGAACAACTTGTCCAGAATAGTGACCTGGAAAGGAAGTGGACTCCTGCTTGAAAGAACAGTGGCTTTCTGTTCCAAGCATCTGAGCCAAAGACTTATGCTGATCCTCTCTGAGTCAGGGCAGAATTGGCTCTTGAATTACAGATGGGTCTACTGGAGTCATAATTAGGCAACTTCAATGAAAATGTGACCCCCTACATGGGGTCTTAAAACTTATGTCGCATAAAGCTTCTGACATGGAACAAGATGTGTTTATACAACACACTCTACCCAGCTGACCTTGGTTCTCTCCCACCAGCAGCCTGTGACCCTGTGTTTCAGTCATTATCAAACACCAGCTCCCCTGAATAGCAGGTTAGGGGTGTGCTTCTCCAGCCTTCTTGAGCATCAGCATCTCTTCAGTGCTTTCAACAAATCAGACTGCTGGGCTCCATTCCTGGATCTCTATTGCAGCTAGTCTGGGACGGGGCAGGCATCTCTCTTTTTTAACCACTTCCCTGCTTGGTTTTGATGTCCTGTTAGGGTTGAGAACTTTGGGCCAACGAATCTCCAGGTGTGGTCCCCTCAGCAGTGCCCTCACCAGGGGCGCATGTTGAACGTGCAGGTTCCTGGGCCCCAGAGCTACTGAATAAGAATCTGCATGGTAATTTGGATGCACACAAATGGTGGAGAGCCACCTCTCCAGGGCCTGTCTACCTGCTCCTGTGCCCGTGCAAAGAAGTCATTCCTGGGGGAGTTTATTGGAGGTTCACTGTGGGTTCATCCCTGGAGATGTAGGTTACACCTGTCTGATGTGGCTGAGACTGGCTCGGGGGGTGAACCCCTGAACAGATACTAGATATGTTGGTTAGGTCATTCGCTCTCCCCTACACCCTGCTCACATCATCACCTAAACCCCAGGGCTCCTGGGTGGGGAACCAAGACTTTCAGAGCAGGACCCAGTCATGGGATAGAGGAGCAGGAAGAAGCCCATGGGTGTCCCCACTTCCTTGGGGGCCAGGGGGCCCCAGGTCATCCTGGTCACAGTTTGGCACCAACGGTGTCTTTGGTGCCCTTGGCTGTCCAGGAGAAGTCAGCTGACCTTCTCCAGAGCTGTCTCAGTTCTGCAGTCCTGTTCTCTTCAGGACAACTCCAGGGACCTGGGTCTTTTTCGGCACGCAGGGGCCCTGAAGCACTAGCCGTGGACCAAGGCCTGATTGTGAGTAAAGAAGTGGTCTGGCTTTGCCTCGTGTCTAATACATTCTGGGGTTCAGACCCCAGATCTGCCAGTCACTGGCCGAGTGGACCCCTCTGAACCTCCACATCCTCAGATTTGTTATCCCATTCAACCAGTATCTATTTATTAAGTACCTACTCACGATGAGCTGGACTTGGCCTCTTGTCATTTTTGAGAGCTGGGTACAGAGCCCTGGATGGGCCCTGTTAGGAGGTGTGACCTGGGCACCAGATAGTTTTTAGGGTAGCACAAGGCAGTATCTATGCAGGAGTGTGCCACGGGGGCAGCGCTGGTGGGCCGAGGGGTGCTGGCAGGTCCTCGCAGGCTGGACTGTCCGCTGTGTCCAGGGGCCTTCTGGAACCCGCCAGGTCTTGCATGGGTGCTTCAGGGCTCGCTGATCAGGGTGGCAGCAGAGTTTTCTGGAGGCAACCTGGTTGGAGAATGGGGAGCCCAAATTAATGCCTGTCCCTTGCTGTAGAGAAGTCACTTCATTTCTTCATGCCTCGGTGCTGGGAGCCATCTGCCTGCCACTGCCACTCCCAGAAGCCCATGCGGGGACCCCAAAAAGTAGTGCGCAAGGCAGCTTGGAAAGCAGCCTCTGTGACCTCTGTGACATTAAGCGTGTCACCATCATCTCCACCATCCCTGTGTGGGCCCCTATGTGAGCTCACTCCCACTTACCCCACATTCTAGCTTATTTCGTCCTGGAGGAGAGGGCCATCAGCTATAGAATGAGTCTGTGTCTCCATGGCAACAGGAAGACAGAGCCTTGGGAGAGGCTGGCCTGAGTGGTTAGAATCTCCTGTTGGGACCTGGCAGAGGGGAGACGGGGCTGGGAAGCAGGTCATCTCTTGCTCTGGCTATAGGAACCAAAAGCTCTGCTGCCTCCGGCCGAGCCGTTTTATCCATACATGTTATTATAAAACCTGAAAGGGACAAGATCTGTGTTTCCTTTAATGGAGCCACACTGCAGTGCTGTTATGTAAGGGCTGCGTGGTGTCCAGGAAGCCTCTGGGGCCCAGGGAAAAGGAGATTTCTCACCTCTGCCGCCTCTGCCTCGCCCTTCTTTTCCCAAAGCCTTGTAGGGGCACCATCAGCCCTCCCGTGTGTGTGTGTGTGTGTGTGTGGAGGAGGAGGATATGCCTTCTTCTATGTCACACACAGTTAATTGAGCTGCAGAGCCTTCGGCCGCTCACTCAGCCCCTGCCAGGCTGTGGTCTCCTAGGGGCCTCCAGGGCCGTGAGCTTGATGCCAGGGCTCTGGGTCTAGTGTGGCTGGTCCTCAGCCTTGGGGATGGTGAGTGCAGCCAGAGCCTGGGGGTAATAACAGGGCATGTTTCCTCAAGAGCTCCACCGCGCTTTCTAAGCATCCATTATTCTTTTTGCGACGTGACAAGCACCTGTGAGGACGGCCGGCCCACCAGGCAGGTGAGGAAAGTGAGGTCCAAGGGAGCCGAGGGAGCTTGGGGATGGCCCAGTGGAGGGCCCCGCCCAGGCCCCCCTGGCTCCCCAGGGGCCCACGGTGTCCTGGCTGGGATGACAGGCGGAGTTGGCTGCATCCCACAGAGCAGGTCAGTTCAGTGCCGTTTCTCGCCATCGATGAGCCAGTTGACCGCGATGTGGTGACAATGGCGAACACAGCGCTGGGGACACAGAGTGTTAATAGACCCCTGCTGACGCCGAGGATGGAGCTGAGCACCCCTGCGGTGGATTGGGGGCTCCGGGCAGCCAGCAGTGGCTGCCCAAGCCGATGCACGTGCACCCACCCCTCGGGTTCTTCCCTGGGACCCCGGCTGTAGGAGGCGTTGTCATCTGCACCCTGCATGTGGGAGTCCGGGCTCGGGGCGGCCGCAGCCCCCACTCTGCTTTCCTGAAGCAGACAGACAGTGGCTCCCACAGAAGGGCTGTGTGGTGCCTGTGCTGTGGTTCCCACGGCAAACTCAGGCCCCCCGTGTTTCACTTTCCTCCTGGGGTGCTCTTCTCCCCTCCGTGTGAGCACGGCCAGGCTGCTTCCCCCACCTCCCCTCCCCACCGAGTGTCCCCGAATGGAGCCCTTCTCGAAAACAGGAAAACTGGGGCCCAGGCAGCTGTGCACCAGCCAGGCAGCTTTAAAACTTGTAGTTTCATCAATTAATTAACTAATTAGCCATTTTTTATTGTGGTAAAATATACGTAACATAAAGTTTAGCATTTTAACTAAATTCACAGTTCAGTGGCATTGAGCACATTCATGGTGTTGTGTGACCATCCCCCCATCCGTCTGCACAAGTTTTTCATCTTCCCAAACTGAAACTGCTCCCAATAAACACCAGCGCCCAGCCCCTCTCCCCCAGCGCTGATAAACTCTCCTCTACTTTCTGTCTCTGTGATTTTCGCTAGCTAGGGACCTCCCATTAGTGGAATTATACAGTAGTCATCTTTTCATGACCGGCTCCTTTTACAGAGTAATGTCTTCAAGTTTCATCTATGTTTCACCATCTGGTAGAATCCTTCCCCAGACAGAAGAAGGTGGCCTTTTGCCTTTTCTTTTGCCCTAATTCTTTGGTTTTTAAACAAACAAAGCAAGGGAATCTTCCTCCAGCTATTTGTTTTCCGAAACATACCGGGGCTTACAGCTGGAGCCCCAGTATGTAAGGTGCACCAAGCGGCGGTGCTCTGGCTGAACAAGGTGGAGAAGAGGGGACCCTACACCCTGAAGACCCTTGCCAGAAACCCCCGGGCACACATCAAGGCTTCTGCCCCTGTTGCACCTGCATGTCCCAGAGAAGGGGTGACAGTTTGGTCCATGGTGGGCTCCCCTGCAGGCACTGGGGGTCTATCTCCTCTGCTTTCCTCCTAACCACCTCTTCCTGCCTCTGGGCCCCAGCCAGGACCCCAGGATTTAACACAAGGGGAAAATTCAGAGAAATTAAAGACATTGTTTACCTGGACGGGGTTGGAGTTTCTCCTTGGAAACCTCCCCAGGCTGCCCTGATCTTGTATCTGTCTGTCTGAGTCTCTTCTGGGACATGGTGGAAGCCCCCTGCCTCCCCTCCTCTCCGATCCCCACTCACCTCTGTTATCTCCCATCTCTCTCTGCGCTCAGAGTCTTCGAGCACCTTCCAGGCCGCCCATTCTGTTCTGCTCCCATTGGCCTCGATTATATATTGGCTCTAGACCATTCCTTTCCTTTCCCCCAAACATTTCTGGTCCTGAGTTCCGTTTCCTTAGCACCTTGTGAGTATTAATTAACTGCAGCATTAAGTCCATTGTTAGTTGCCGCATGAGTTTATGTGCTCTGGGGAGTTCCCCATTTATCAGATGACAGTTCCCTGCAGTTTTACGTGAGGTCTAGAGCACACAGAACTTCGGGCCCCATGAGAGGCAAGGTGGGGGTGATATTTCGGGATAGGAGAAGCACGTGGAGTAGAATACCTTTATATGTTCCAAAATCCATCACGGCAACCACTGACTCCTACATGACACAGCTGTGTACGGATCATTGCCTACGTGCCAGGTCCTGGGCTGAGAGCTGGTGGTTTAGTCGCTAAGTCGTGTCCTACTCTTGTGACCGCATGGACTGTAGCCTGCCAGGCTCCTCTGTCCACGGGGATTCTCCAGGCAAGAATACCAGAGTGGGTTGCCATCTCCTTCTCCAGGGGCTCTTCCCGACCCAGGGATTGAACCGGGTCTCCTGCATTGCAGACAAATTCTTTACCACCTGAGCTACAAGGGAAGCCCTGGGGTAAGAGCTGGGGAAACAGCAAAGCAGGCTTAGACTCCTCTGCCCTCAATGAGAGCGTGGTTTGGGGCAAGTTACTTCATTTCCTTTTGCTTCTGTCTCCTTGTCTGTATAATGGGATGTAATCTCTTGGGTTGTATGGGGATTAAGTGCGATGGAGCCTGAGGAGTGCCCCAAAGGGGTGGGCGCGGTTGGTCCCAGCCAACACTGGCCACTCAGCCTCCCCTACCTGTGTCTAAGGGGACCACAGGTTCTCCTGTGTGCTGCAGCTGGGCCCCTAGCTTCAAACAGCAGCAGAGCCGTCACCTATCACCTGTGCTTCCTGTCCACTTTGTCCTGGCTACAGTTAACATACAACAGGGAGGGAACTGACAGTAGTTGGGCACCTTCTCTGTGTCAGTGTCTCTGTGAGGTAAGCCTTAGTTTGCCCATCGTACCGACAAGGACACTGAAATTCAGAGTCTTGCAGAGCATGCCCAGGACAACATGGTCAGGACGCGGTGGAGGCGACAGCCAGGCCAAGCCTGCCCAGGCAGGTGAAGAGGAGGAACATAGACACGGAGGAAATAGTAGAAGCGGTCCCTTGGGGAGATATCGTTGCGAGGAGTCTTTTGAGGCTTCCTGGGTGTGGGACCTCACCTGTGCACTGAAATATTAGACCTATATCCCCAGTGTGTGGGATGTTGCAAAATCATGGCCTTGTGACTTGCAAAGGAATTTCTTTCGAGGCCTCAATCCAGTTCATCTGAAGTAATTCAGCAAGCACCTTTTGAGAGTCTTCCAACTGCAGGGACTGGGAGAGACTCAAAAATACGCAACCTACCCCTTCCCCTAGGAACATCTAGGCTACTGGAAGGAGGCAGCTGGACACTGGATATGCACTTAGAGAAGTTCAAGCTTGGCCACTGCACCTGAACCCCAACTCAGCGCATGGTCTGACAATGGGTTATTTTAAATTGTGAATGTATTTATAGGGAAGATGTTAAGAGGGTATAGATTGCATCACATTTCATTACATCTTTAGTAGACAACTTAATGAAAAGAAGAATGTTTCATAAAACTCAGACTGGAAATATTTGACTTATAGTTAATGTCATCTCTCCCTCCCTCCTTCCCCTTCTCCTCCCTCCTTCTGTGTTTCTTTCTCTCCCTCCCTCGCTTCAGCAGGTATTTATTGGGACTTACTATGTGCTAGACACATAATGAATAAGGAGCTTTCAGGAGATGAGGGAGGCAGACAAATAAGAGGCAATATCAATCTTAAGACGAAAAAAATCTATTTAAAAAGGCAGGATCAATATTGCTTCAAAATGACTATGTATGGAGATGTGAGAGTACCCAGGAGGGTACTCAGTCAAATCTAGGGCAGGGAGAGGCTGGAGGAAGTTTTCTGGGAAGAAGTGGTGTGGGAGAGATAACTGGAAGGACAGTAGTATTTTGTCAGGTGAAGCAATAGAAGAGGGGGTGGGGAGAAGGGTACCAGGTAGAGAGAAAAGCTCTATGAACCAAATGTATAGTAGGTCAGGAGAGAGGGTATAATTAATTTTGCTTAAGTGTAGAGCATGGGAGATAAACAAAGGCTTTAGGGAGAGGCTGGTGTTTGGGGCTTTGTTGGATGAGAAGGAGTTTGATAACCAAAGATTGAGGGCACTCTGGGCAGAGGGAGTGGTGTGAGCCAATGAATGCATGGGATATTTAGGGTGTGAAGTTCAGGTCACCTGTCTAGGACAAAGAGTACAGAAAGTGTGACTTGACATGAGCAGGCATCTGAGAGGACTGTCTGGGCAGAAGGACTGCTAGCAGGTGATGGAGGGCTGCATGAGGGAGGTGGCACAGGAACGGAGAGGTGGAGTAGGTTCAAGAGGCATTTGGGGAGAGGGTGGTGGATCTTGGCTGCTGATAAGTCTCAGTAGTTGAGAGCTCAGGCCAGTGGAAAACAGCCTTGGGGTTTGCATTTTAGCTGACTGCTCTGCCAGATCCCAGTGCCCACTTCATTACTGCTCCATGGCACCCCCAGCCGTTGATCACCTCGTGTTGAGGGAGCAAGCACAGGGCTCCACTCCAGTACCTCATAATACCACTTATCTCTACAGTACCGCACAGCACCT